CCTCCTTGTTTGGGGGGCTGGAGCGTCCTCTGAACTCAGAGCAATGGCAGAGATGACTCTCGTCTCTGTCTCTGTCTCCCTCTCCCCCCCATCTGTAACTCAGTCTGTCCCCCCACTTTCCTGTCTCTTTCCAGCGCTGTTTTTGCCTGGTTCCCAGTCACACCCCTTCACTGGCCTCACTGGGATGCCCCACCCCAGTGAAGACAGGGTCGCCTCTCTCCCTCTGTCCACGCACCCCCCACACTTCTTGTTTTCAGAGTGAGCTTGGGGAGGGGACCTCAGCATACCCCCCAAGATGTAAGGCGAGCCTGGGTGCCCGCACCCCTGGCCCTCCCACCCTGAACCTCAGCTGAAGGGAGTGGACGTGGGGGAGGGGCGGGCAGACAGAAGAGCTTTGCATCTTTAATTAAAAAGTGATTTAAATTAATTTTCTGCTCCAAAACCCCTATCTGGGGGGCGGGGTGTGTGGCAGTGATTAAAGGCTCTCCCGGCCCCCTTCCCTTCCCTTCTGCCTTCCTTAAAGGGCCAGCGTCATCCGAGGGACAGTTGCTCCTGTCCCTCCGGAGAGCCTCAGGGGCAGTGCCCACTAACACAGGGGTCCCCAGGGTCCTGGCACTCTCCGCTTTAACCATTTTCCCTCCTCCTCCCCCTCAAGCCCATTGCCCATCCAGCCCATGGGGAGACAGAGGCTGAGAGAAGAGGGGCCGAGGTGCCGGGTTCTTGGAGGACACCCAGAGATGGCCAGGCTGGAGGGCTGGTGGGTGAGGCAGGGACGGAGAGACAGGGTCAGAGGTCCCGTGTGAGACAGAGAGAGTGAGGGCGTGGGAGAGAGTGACAGAGCCAGAGCCAGAGGTGGGAGGCTTCTGGGATGAAGCTGAGCCTGGGGTGGGGGAGGAGGGAACCTACCCAGGAGTGAGGGGCACCAGGGCCATCCCATCGTCCTGTCCTTGCCCTCCTCACAGCCCCCTGCTCACTAGCCCTCTCTCACCGGGAAGTCCTGCTGCTGTCCTGACCCCAGTCCCTCCTGCTTTAGCTCCAGCTGTCTCACCCCTGCCCTGGGTGGTTTTGTTTAGCTTCCACAAGATGGGAGGATGGAGAAGCAGATTGCCGCGGAGCAGAGCTGTTTATGAGGGCCATAAAAATATCCTCAGCAAGCCCAGCAGGGGTGGGCGTCCTGCCTCCGCCCCTCTCTCAGTGCCCCACCCCGCCTGGGTCTCTGTCCCTTTCTTTCTGGATCTCTGCCCCTCCCCCTCTGGATCTCTGCCCCTCGTCTCTGTCTCCCTCTTTCTGGATCTCTGTCCCTGCCCCCCTTCTGTCTGGATCTCTGTCTCATTTCTCTTTGGCACAGTCTCTCAGGAGTGATGGTTGGGTAACTTTTGGGGGTCTAGTATCCCTTTATGACAATAGGACTAAATCAAGGGGCCATTTCCTGGGAAAGGAGCACACAGGCACCAAGCCCACCATTTGCAATTTCAGAGAGTTCACGGGCCTCCTGACACGCATTAGCATATCCCCTCAGGAATTTGAGGACACCAGAGGATAAAGACCCCCAGTGTAGAAAAAGCCAGTGAGATGATGAATCCCAGGTGTCTCTCTCTCTCCTCCTACCTGCCCTCTCCTGCCCTCTCCCGCCGCCGTTGCCCTCCTGACCTCCTCACTGTTTCTCCAACACACCAGGGACATTCCTGCCCCAGGGCCTTTGCACCTGCTGTTCTGCTTCCGGTGATCTTCGCTCAGGAGTCCACATGGCTCCCTCCCTCGCTTTCTTCAGGTCTCTGCTCAGATGTCACCTCCTCTGAGGGCCTTCCCTGTCTAGCTTATATCAACTCCTCTGTCCTTGTTCTGCTTTGCTTCAGAGCACTTGTCGTCTCCAGGCATTATTTTATACTTACACACTTACTTACTGGTCTGCTCTCTCCCCAACCATCCCCAATAGAACGTGAGTGCCAGGAGGCCAGGAAGTTTGTCTTTTCTCCCTGATATGTCTCCAGGACACCGCCCCGCACACAGTCAGAGCTCAATATTAACTTTTGTTGCAGAACCCTCCTACGTCTCATTGGAACACCAGTTGCAAAGGCTGTCTGGGTCCCAGATCCTCCAGGAACCAGATAAAAACCGCGGACCGGCTCCCAGACAGATATGCGAGCAGGTGGGTACATGATTTACCCTCAACCTTGCAGATTCCAGAAACTGCCCAAACTGAGGGCAGGGGAGACCCTTGTGAAAGGCAGGGGTCAAAACGGGGCAGAGGGACAGAGGGACACCTCCAGGCCTGCACACCTGTGCAACCCCCCCATGCGCATGCACACACGGCCCTCCCACACACACCATGCATGGGCTGACGCTCTGACGACTGAGGTCCGGATTCTGTGTGTACGAACTCAGGCAGACACACAGCCCCAGGAGTCACCATATGCAGAGACAGCTACAGCCCTGCAAACACACGCACATCCCCAGGCATTGCCCCACCACCAGACACACACACACACACACACACGCACACGCACACACACACAGATGGCTTCAGACACAGGCACATGAGCATCCGTGGCTCCCAGGGGAGGGAAGTTAGGGGGCCCAGAGCAAGAACAGAAACTAAAATATGGGGTTTGGTTACTTCCAGCCTTCAGTTCTCTCCTCTGTCTGCACGTTTGTCTCCTAGAGACAGACAGACAGACAGAGACAAAGAGAGAGAGAGACAAAGAGACAGAGAGACAAAGAGGGAACGACATGGAGAGAAAGGGAGCGGGAGGCTCCGCGGCTGGGGAGCGGGGGCGGGCCGGGCGGACAGAGACCTGTGGCGGCCGGCGGGCGGGAGGCAGAGGAGGCCCGGGCCGGGTGCGGGGAGAGGGCGGCGCGGACAGGGGCAGCCGGGGTGGGGACCCGGGGAGACCCCGACACAAAGGCCGCCCCTAGGGCGGCGGCGGGGGGGAGGGGGGGAGAAGGGAGGAGGGGAGAGGAGGGAGGGGCCGCCCGCCCCGCCCGCCCCGCCCGCGGCCCAGCCACCGGCGGACAGTGGGTTAAGCATCTCGATGTGGAACTTCCGGATGTGACCACAGAGAGAGGGAGAGACCGGGAGAGACCGGGAGAGACGGGGAGGCGGGGAGACACCAAGCCATCCAGCCGCCGGCAGCCGTCCGGCCCGCCGCCGCCGGGACCCCGCGCG